AACCAAAATTTAATAGTATTAATGCCCCTTTATACGCAAGCTATAATGCCACATTTCGTTTCTTAAACTTTACCCGTTCTGAGATATTGTTTAATATCTCAGAACAGAAAATAAAGAAATTAAACAAATTAGACGCCAACACACGCGCGCGCGAATTTTTCCCCTTTATTGACTTTTTTGAGGGGTTTGGGAGGTCTCCAAACGTGTGGATTTGCAAAAAAATAAAAAACTTGGAGGGTCAAATTTGACACGATTCCAATACTTTTCCGTTTTATATACATAACAAGCTGGTAAGTAAATAGGAGTCGGAGTTGGCGGATTTTTTGACGACTCCGACTACGACTCCTGCTAAAACATCAAAACTCCACGACTCCGACTCCACAGCCCTGCTTTTTTCAATTTACTTGTAATAGTTCACAATCGTTAAAAATATTGTAAATATTATTAAATTTTTTCTAAAGTTCAACAAATAACCCACATGTGTATCATTGCATATATTGAAAATTTCAGGAAACATCTGACTATTAAAAGATGTTTAATAAGTGTACTTATGGTTGTAAAACTTACATTTGAATTAAACTTAGTATAAGATTCTATGTATGTCTTGTCTCTTTAATCTGACGTTAAGTTCGGTAGACTATCATTACAGCTTTCAGGTTAGACACTTCCACATATTTGTTTCCACATATGCATTTCGGACTTATATAAATGTTAAGTCCCTCTTCAGTGCAATACTATGGTTCTGTCTCCTAAAACCATGGTGTACAATGGGTAACATTGGAAAGATTTTAAAATACAGCCATTAAAAACACCTCAAATATCCAAAAGTGATATTTAGAAGAATATTGAAAACATGTGGATCAAGAAAACAGGTTTTCCGTATTAATGGTGAAAATTACACCATTGTACACTGTACATTGTACACTGTGGTTTTAGGAGACAGAACCATAGTATTGCACTGAAGAGGGACTTAACATTTATATAAGTCCGAAATGCATATGTGGAAACAATAAAAGAAGTGTCTAACCTGAAAGCTGTAATGATAGTCTACCAAACTTAATGTCGGATTAAAGAGACATACATAC